AACTTGTTTTGTAGTCAACTAGTCCATCACAATGTCATGCATGAGGAGTACTGTAGGAGTTTGGCTTTCGGCTTGTACAATTCGTTTTCGCAAAGCTTCCCTTTCTTTACTTATCTTTGATATTTATGACCCACCCAAGTTGGGTGGTGTGCTGCTTTGCTGCTTCGAATTGTAGTTAGACCGCTTTGTCAAATATCGTACTGGTCTCGTCATCGTCCAGTAACAATCGACATTCTTTGTTCCGTTGGGACTGTAGCTTTTGCTCGTTTTCGTTGCGCTTGCCTTCCCCTCTTTGGTCTTTCCATAACCTTGAACCTTCCAAGTTGGAAGGCTGTCGGTTAGCGCTACGGAGATGTGTTGAAGCTAGGTGTCAGGACGTCGAATGTTTCAGTACTCTGTCAGTTTTGTGCCTAGTTATTGCACTTTCTGACTGTATAAAGTATCATGTTACAGTGATGGAGAGTTACTCTTAACTCGTATCCATATGTCCTTTTCTCTTCTACAATAATAATAATAATAATAATAATAATAATAATAATAATACTTGTAGAAGAGAAAAGGACATATGGATACGAGTTAAGAGTAACTCTCCATCACTGTAACATGATACTTTATACAGTCAGAAAGTGCAATAACTAGGCACAAAACTGACAGAGTACTGAAACATTCGACGTCCTGACACCTAGCTTCAACACATCTCCGTAGCGCTAACCGACAGCCTTCCAACTTGGAAGGTTCAAGGTTATGGAAAGACCAAAGAGGGGGCTTGTACAATTCGTTTTCGCAAAGCTTCCCTTTCTTTACTTATCTTTGATATTTATGAACCACCCAAGTTGGGTGGTGTGCTGCTTTGCTGCTTCGAATTGTAGTTAGACCGCTTTGTCAAATATCGTACTGGTCTCGTCATCGTCCAGTAACAATCGACATTCTTTGTTCCGTTGGGACTGTAGCTTTTGCTCGTTTTCGTTGCGCTTGCCTTCCCCTCTTTGGTCTTTCCATAACCTTGAACCTTCCAAGTTGGAAGGCTGTCGGTTAGCGCTACGGAGATGTGTTGAAGCTAGGTGTCAGGACGTCGAATGTTTCAGTACTCTGTCAGTTTTGTGCCTAGTTATTGCACTTTCTGACTGTATAAAGTATCATGTTACAGTGATGGAGAGTTACTCTTAACTCGTATCCATATGTCCTTTTCTCTTCTACATTTATTTATGGCTCAACATCCGAGTTTAATAATAATACTCTTTGAAATTGTTTTAGTGGCAGCTTGTTCTGTCGGTTTGGCTCTGGTTGGCCATGGTGTTATATCTTGTGTCACAGTATACTAGTAGTCCTTACAAGTTCGTTAATTGCTTTCGCAGTTTTTCCTGTTATTACCTTAGTGCTAGGATTATCATTTTCATAGGTGTTGTTTCTTCTCAATCCATTTCTCTTTAATAATAATAATAATAATAATTTTAGAATTGCGATCAACAGAACGAGCTGAACCGACATTTCACAAAGGCTTTTATTGTTTTCAAAAAAACGAGTGGATACGAAGGCAGTGAAGAACGTGGAAGAAAGAAAAAATGTGATATGGAAAAAAATGATGAACAAAAAATTTGTACTTCGAACTAGTTTTCGCACAACACTCCTCAGGAAGCTACGTTGTACTAATGAAAAACAATCCAGAAAGATACTAATAAAGAGAAATGGAGTGAGAAGAAACAACACCTATGAAAATGATAATCCTAGCACTAAGGTAATAACAGGAAAAACTGCGAAAGCAATTAACGAACTTGTAAGGACTACTAGTATACTGTGACACAAGATATGACACCATGGCCAACCAGAGCCAAACCGACAGAACAAGCTGCCCCTAAAACAATTTCAAACGAATAATGCTGTCCTTCTGGACACACAGATCAGGCTTATGAATACGTTGACAAACAGCTTCTAACACACTCAACTGCAACTTATAACCATGACGAGCACGGCACAAAACAGAAAAAGAAGAATCAGAATACACCTTGCAACAATCAGGACGAGATGCAAGATGCTTATACACTGATGACTTCCTACTAGAAAACACACGCTCGCACCCACTCTTACTCACACAATCATTCTCGCTCTCACACTCACCGGAATCACTGGACTCACTGGCCGAATCCTCCTCAACGACGTCCTGCCTCGGAGCAATCAGGTCCCGTCTCCTCCCATCCCTCGTCTCACGTTCCTGTTGTGTATTACGTTGGCTCGGTACTTCCGTACTGAAATAGGTCATGGTGTAATTAGCAGTTGTTCTTCTGGGTCTCGTTGATATTGAGGTAGGTATTTTTGTCGTCTCTGCCGGTGATGCAGCAAGCGATGCTGATGCAAACGTGTCTGCATGCAACACACGTGGCGTCGCCGAAGCCACATCCACCTCCGCTGGTGGAGGGAGTGACTTGGTCATGGCCACGGGAGCCAATGGTGGACTTGCCGAGTGGGACGCTAGGTCCTGTGTTGGCGGAGGTAGTGGTTGTTTACGGGGTCTTCCCCGCGTGGGACGCTCGACGAGGGATGGGAGGAGACGGGACCTGATTGCTCCGAGGCAGGACGTCGTTGAGGAGGATTCGGCCAGTGAGTCCAGTGATTCCGGTGAGTGTGAGAGCGAGAATGATTGTGTGAGTAAGAGTGGGTGCGAGCGTGTGTTTTCTAGTAGGAAGTCATCAGTGTATAAGCATCTTGCATCTCGTCCTGATTGTTGCAAGGTGTATTCTGATTCTTCTTTTTCTGTTTTGTGCCGTGCTCGTCATGGTTATAAGTTGCAGTTGAGTGTGTTAGAAGCTGTTTGTCAACGTATTCATAAGCCTGATCTGTGTGTCCAGAAGGACAGCATTATTCGTTTGAAATTGTTTTAGGGGCAGCTTGTTCTGTCGGTTTGGCTCTGGTTGGCCATGGTGTCATATCTTGTGTCACAGTATACTAGTAGTCCTTACAAGTTCGTTAATTGCTTTCGCAGTTTTTCCTGTTATTACCTTAGTGCTAGGATTATCATTTTCATAGGTGTTGTTTCTTCTCACTCCATTTCTCTTTATTAGTATCTTTCTGGATTGTTTTTCATTAGTACAACGTAGCTTCCTGAGGAGTGTTGTGCGAAAACTAGTTCGAAGTACAAATTTTTTGTTCATCATTTTTTTCCATATCACATTTTTTCTTTCTTCCACGTTCTTCACTGCCTTCGTATCCACTCGTTTTTTTGAAAACAATAAAAGCCTTTGTGAAATGTCGGTTCAGCTCGTTCTGTTGATCGCAATTCTAAAACTATTGTCGCCTCGACGCCTATTTAAATAATAATAATAATAATAATAAGAAAGGGTTTGCTCCCCACACCGGAGCTCGCGCTATTCCGCCGACTTTACTTGACACTTGACTGACTCACGACTGCCATCCAGAGCACACGAGAAGTCCATCGAACCTTCGACTCGGCAAACCTGCAAGAAAGCACCACTCCCTGCTCAATACACAGTGTTTCGGGGAATTCACCCCTCATCAGTTGAGCTTGAGTAGGCTGAGGAAGATTGTGCCTGAAGAGCACCACTTATATAGTGCTCTCCAGGCACAAACATCACCAGGGATACAAACTTACAGAGACGCTCCGCTTCCAGCGCGACAAACACCTCATGAACACCAGATAGCAGCGTGAGTCAGTGTCGCTCCTGGACGGTGAGACAGACGTCGAGGACCCTCGGTCATTCGCAACGCTGTCACCTCCAAACCAACTAGTCGCAAGCCCGCGCTGGGCACAACAGTACGAAGTAGTGGTTGCGACTTCGGCGATGATTTGTAAGAAAGGGTTTGCTCCCCACACCGGAGCTCGCGCTATTCCGCCGACTTTACTTGACACTTGACTGACTCACGACTGCCATCCAGAGCACACGAGAAGTCCATCGAACCTTCGACTCGGCAAACCTGCAAGAAAGCACCACTCCCTGCTCAATACACAGTGTTTCGGGGAATTCACCCCTCATCAGTTGAGCTTGAGTAGGCTGAGGAAGATTGTGCCTGAAGAGCACCACTTATATAGTGCTCTCCAGGCACAAACATCACCAGGGATACAAACTTACAGAGACGCTCCGCTTCCAGCGCGACAAACACCTCAATAATAATAATAATAATAATAATAATAATACGAAGTAGTGGTTGCGACTTCGGCGATGATTTGTAAGAAAGGGTTTGCTCCCCACACCGGAGCTCGCGCTATTCCGCCGACTTCAAGTGTCAAGTAAAGTCGGCGGAATAGCGCGAGCTCCGGTGTGGGGAGCAAACCCTTTCTTACAAAATTTAATAATAATAATACTGAAACAATACAAAGTCACCGTCATGTCTTCTGTGTTAGCATTTAAGATCAATAGTATCCGGTGATGCTCCCAAGCTGTTCTGTAAAATCATAGCTTCAAATGACCGAGAATTGGTTTGGAATACTGTCTGTCAAAAACTCCTCTTGTACGGGCAAAATAAACACAATTACGAGTGCAACATCGGCCTCAACAGCACCGGAAGAAAAACGATCAAAGAATACTGTCTGTCACGGAGATAATTAGAGAGATAGACACATGATTTCAGATTTTGGGAAAGCGAGTCCCAGAGACAATAATAGCTAATGAAAACAGGCGAGCGACTCATTGAGTTATTTCTTGAAATAGGGAATCTTAGTGAATTACGACTTGACGAAGAGGAGCCGGAGTTATCATCAACCTAGTTTGAGCTTTTTCTGAAAATATTATGAATGCGATTTCAGCTTCAACAAGTACGAGCTCTCGTACTAGTTTTGTTGTTCAAGGCGGGGAGCCCGAACGTGCGGATTAAAAAAATCTACAACTGTAGTACAAATACCGTATTGTACTCCTCTCTGATCGAAACCTTTGAACTACTGAGTACTCTCTGTGACTCTGATCTGGTCACGGGTACGAAATCATTTTGAAAATGTTTCAAACCACTTTGAAGTGCGTTTCCATTTCGTTCCGTTTCGGGGGGTGTTTTCGTGCATTGACGAGCAGCGCATTCCTTACTTGAATTTAGTCGTGGCACACAGCTTTACAACAAGAAGGAGGAGATGGTCAAAGTCAATCTTGAAAGGCTTGTGGTCCTTTGAAGTAGCTTCAGCAGTGTGTGTGTGTGTGTGTGATGAGGCCACAACGTCAGAACACGAGACAATTCCGCGAAGTACATGTAACTAAAGTAGTAGCAAGCTGGATAGTCGCAACTACAGTGGAGCTGGCTGCTAGACAAGAACTGTCTTTGCCCACCATTTCCACTCTATTACCCTCGGAGGTAGAAACAATTTGCAGTTGCCGTGATCCAGTTGACGATGCGTTCTTGTGCGTAACATAACTTACAATCCGCAATGGACAGTTACAAGATTGCTTCCTCCTCCGTCACACAGTCTAAGGATGTACGCCCACCAAGCGTAAGTGTTAAATCACGCAGTTGTATACTAATTCCTTTAGTGGCATACATTTCACTCAAGAAAATCAAGCCAAAACAATTCGTAGTTTATGCAGTTTGCACACGAAAGGCAACTATCAGAAAAGTGTGTCTGTAGTGATTTAGAATAGTAGTGACACAAAGAATTGAAAATTGCTATTTTTCAAATCGTTTTTAGGTGACCGTCATCAACGGAAATTTGTCACGCAATCATCGGAGGAATGACCGAAACAATCAATAATTATTATTGCATTAAAAACTCGGATGTTGAACCAATAGTAATATGAAAGAGAAAAGGATCTACGTGTATAAGCTACTAGTTATGACTAACAGTCCACCAATGTAACAAGATAATAGAGAGGCTCAGGAGTACGATTTTTGGTGCCAAAATCCGTATGGGCGCTACGAGTGCAGAAAGATATTTGCGTACAAATTTTATTACGAGAAACATCAATTCCCGCGGGAGGTTTTGATTTCGGTACACATTTTCAAACTAAGAAGGCATAGCGCGGGAATATGACGTGTTTGCGGTCGTAACCTAGGCAATGACGGCAAACGTACTCCGGAACATTTCACTGCTCGAAAACGACGTATAAAAAAATCTGTAGCGCCTCTACGGATTTTGGTACGAAACATCGTACTCCGGAACCTCTCTATTATACAGTCAGATAGTGCGACAACAAGGCACACAACTGACAAGGATATTGAGACATTCGATGACCTGACACCTAGCTCCAACATCTACGAAGCGCAAACCAACAACCTTCCAACTTGGAATATTCAGGTGCGGAAAGTTCCAATGATTTCGAGTTTTAGTTAGACCGGTTTGTCCAATGGTCTTACTACTTTCTCTCTCTCTGTCTCTCTCTCTCTCTCTCTCTCTCTCTCTCTCTCTCTCTCTCTCTCTCTCTCTCTCTCTCTCTCTCTCTCTCTCTCTCTCTCTCTCTCTCTCTCTCTCTCTCTCTCTCTCTCTTCTGTCTAAGTTTCTCTCTCTTTCTCTCTCTGCTATTGGCGCGCCTGGTTGTGATGAAGCCGAGACCCAAGGTCGGCAGAGCATCCCAGACCACGCCACCACTCCCCTTATTCATGGCTCACACATGACGGGTTTACGTGGCTCTGGTAAAAAAAAAAAAAAAAAAAAGTTTCGTCATGGTCATCGCGTAATGTTCGACATTCTTTGTTGCCTGGGGACATAGCTCGAGCACATCATCGTGGCGCATCCCTTTCCCTCGTTTCCCTCATCCCAATTTCAGAACTTTTATGCACAAAGTGAGCACAGAATTTATGTAGTATAGATGCTGGCCTAACAGTTTTTTGGAACCAGAGGTCTGGACTTTTGAAACCCACCATAAATGCTGTTTCATGCCCATTTAAAAATGTGTTAATGAACTTTTTGAGCCCGATTTGGCTTTTAAATCGGATTTGAGTATGTCCAGAGATCTACTATTGGTGAATGGAATGTGGTGCATACTAAGGCTGTGTTCGTTTTTAGCTACCTAGTAGAGTGGAGTAGAGTCACTCTACTGATAGAGGCATATGGTAGAGGCAATTGCACGAACGCTGTTCTACCTGATTTAGTAATTTACACGATATGTATGCGAAATACTTCTCTTCTGTATGGAGTTATGTACAAATCCTTGATCTTGCTGGGAATTTCGTAGCTCTGCCTTCTTCTTCTGGCTTCTACCACCCTTCTCCTGCTAGAGCCTTTAGGGGAAAGTACGATTTACCCTTTTGAGTAGAAAAAAAGAACACCTCTACCGAAAGAAGTAGTTTCTACCCAAACCTGTAAGTCAAAAACGAACGCCCCTAAGGCCACTTGCACACTACGTACAGTTGCGCTCAATGAAATCCGACCCAAAGTGCAAAGCTGGCACCCTGGACCAGTTCTGATTACATCATTGTGGGTGTACATGTGTACGTCCAGCCGCATTCGGGCCACTTCCAGGGCGTCAAGGGCCGTGCAAGTTGAGGGTGCCAGTTTTGCACATTGGGTCGGATTTCAGTGAGCGCAACTGTAGAAAACCTCTTGTTTACTGCGTTCCTGTAAAAGTTGTCATGTCAACTGACGTCACATGGCGGAAAAAGTAAACAGTAGCGCAAACGTTTACAGCAAATCGCGGACGGGTATACACGGTTGCGTTTTAGCTTTTATGCGTTCCTGCCCTTTCGGACACACGTGTAGCAACTTCTTTCTGTGCTTTTCAAACTTTTCAGTGCTGTTTTGGGGCTGTGTGGATGTCTGTCGGCGTCCTGTTTCCTGCTTCAGCTTTCCATTGGAATTATTGGATGCTTCTGAACCTTTCATACTTGAACTCTTTTTCTTCAGGCCGTAGTAGACTGTACATGTACTGTAGTTCTTCTTTGCTGAGCATAACACGATGCCGAGCGATCCATCGCTATATTTCACAGTACCGTTCCGCAACAACTTGGGGAACATCGTCGGCAGCTTGAAACTTGATCATCTATGATCGATCGTCTTGAATCTTTCAAATGTCAAGAACAGGAAATAGACCGCCATCTGAAGATTTCATTAGGTTCTGGAGGGCCTGCAACATCGGTGATCATGGCGGAAACAATTCTACGTCGCCGCCATCTTCTTGCCGGAGTCAACCTGAAGTTCATGGGCATGGGTACAATTTGAACGACACAGAACGAAGTCAAAGACGACAAGCGGGATGCGCTCGTTCTGAGGAGAGCATTTTTCGTACCGTATCTTTTGAATTTTCAGTCATTATCTTCAGGAATGATTATGTAAAACGCAGATCCCTTGTCAGTGTGGAAATGCACTTGAACAGGCTTGTGTATGCACAAGTTTGTTGCATTTTACATGAACATAGTGTGCACGGCCCCTAAGAGTTTAGATTTTTAATACATTTACCTTTGTGGATAAGCGGTGAACGGTGGCATTCAACTGTCAGAGGGAATATTATATTTGTTTGTTTAGCTTTATTTTACTTCACCAGAAGCACAGGCAAAATCTGCCTTCTCACTGGGCGTATTGCCACAGTTCTCGCAAAATGATGAAGGTGGTGATGTAAGAAAAGGAGGAAGGGGAAAGTACAACAATGAACATGGCCCAAAGAGAAGACGCAAACAAATCAATGAGGGAGTACTACAAGTAACGAATTTGAATTTGATGATTTTTTTCATGAATATATTCCATGAGATCCAAAGGTTGCAGGGTTGAGGGAATGTTGACAGTTATGCGTCTTTGAGATCTTAGGAGAGGGTAAGAGAGTTTAGAATATCGTTTGTAATTGCTTTCTTAACCTTTTGAGCACGCGTGACGTTCTGACACGTCATGACCACTGCCACTGTGACAGAGTCAGTGCGGAACTACATCGATACATGTACCGCGTTTCTTCCGTGGCGTGGCGTCAAGCTGTACCACTGCATAGAGGACTCCTAGGTCAGGATGTACGAGTACGGTAACACAAAAATGCGAGTCGCTCCGTACTTTTGAACTTGAGTTACATGCGCGTGCATACATTTCAAAATACCAATTTCGCGTGAAACTACCTTTATGAAAACGGTCATAACTTTTGTAATCTTTGTCGTATTTCCAAAACAAAAACAGTTCTGTGCTCAGGATACATTAAAGAATCGTTTGAAATCAAGTTTGCTCACATAGAGTGAATTAAAAAATTTTACTGCGTGGCAGAGGTTTTCAATGGGCCCAGGCTCAAAAGGTTATGCAGAAGGAATTATCAGTAACAATACTTGATGTACCCACAACTCCTTTATGTTGTTTGTATCTATTTGTGTGTAATGGCTACCGAGGTAGCCATTTCGGATGGGAGCGCATGTAGGAGAAAGGAGGAGAGATTGTTGCAGTATGTACCTTTGTGGCATTTTTGGCATGCAAGCGGAACGAGAGAGCTTGGAAGCTCAGGGCCCTACGCTATGCCTTTTTGCCTTGATGACCTAGGCAAAAAAAAAGCATAGTAAATTTTCATTTACCCTATTTTTTCCAAGACATAACCTGGGATTCGAACCCGCACTATCGCCCTGCATACCCCCTCCATTCTTTTGGCTCTGTCTGTTGAAGTCAAGTCAAGCCCGATAAACATACTGCCCGAAATCAGTACCGGTACGGTGCGCAAATGCAGCACGTAGCATGTACATCGACATGAAAATGACTTCTCCACTACACACAAGTCGGGTCCGAAAGTTAGTTTGCGCCCGAAAGTCAGTACCCGCCCGAAAGTTAGTACGGGTGTGGTCGCTAAATTCGAAAGTAAATACGTACTTATTTACGGACTTTTACGGTATTGTGGCCAGCTGTTTGTGGCCAGCTGTCTTTGATGGTGCAGTACGATACGGGACAGATATGGGATAGCGCCAGACGGAGGCCCGTCCATCCGCCACAAACAGACACCAAATTGAAGCTGTGTGGACCCTGGCTAGCGCCAGACGTTACTGAAGTAATGTCTTCAGCATAGCTACGGGAATAAAATGGTGTAACAGACAGTTTGTGTATACAGTAACATTCTACTGTTCCCTTGGATGCTCAGGGTTATCGTCTGTTAGCAATTGCTTTGGCAAGCATCACTGCTTTCTCCGCATCAGCGCTGGCATCCTGCAGCACGTATTTTTGCCCAAGCACCATAGTGTCCTTCACAGCGATCCCTGTGTCAAGTGTGACGGTATTTCCAACCTGCACCACAAACTTGTAAGTGATCACTACCATCAGTACCATGCACTCCAACTGGCTTCCAAGGATTTTCGTGTTTCGCAAGAGTATGCATTAAGGGTAGCTCATGCCAACATGAAATTTCCGAAAATTTGCCTTGTGGACTGTTTTAATTCATGGGCAGGGTATCCTGATTGAGATAATCAATATCTCTCTCTCTCTCTCTCTCTCTCTCTCTCTCTCTCTCTCTCTCTCTCTCTCTCTCTCTGCTATTGGCGTGCCTGGTTGTGATGAAGCCGAGACCCAAGGTCGGCAGAGCATCCCAGACCACGCATCCACTCCCCTTATTCATGGCTCACACATGGCGGGTTTTCGTGGCTCTAGTAAAAAAAATAAAAAAAATATTAGGGTACCTCTGCGGCCACTTTGGGGGTGTAAGCGGCGCTCAAAGGTCAGCAAATGTGAGACATTTAGGGAAATATCCCAGATTTTATCACCTGGGTTGTTATGCCCTTCACCTTCTTCTGCTTGATACATTTTCAAAACAAATGAAGTCAGAACAGCCGGGACATGTGTGGGAAGCCTCTGAAACAAAAATGGCACATTTAATAGAAGCATGTTTTTAGAGAGATGCTGGAAATGTTCACTTCTGCGGCCAATTCAAATACATGACCTGGACGTACTATAATGGGCAAAAAAACAAATGGCCCGAAAATAGTTAGTTTTTCTTCTTTTCTATATTGCTATACATCCATAGAACAAATTCCACTTGGATGGCGAGCCAATTAAATTATTGTGAAAAAGGAGAAGGACTCGCTGACCGTATAAGATCTGGTTACGTTGGTGGACAGTTAGTCATAACTCGTAACATTAAATTTTTTTCCTTCTCCATTTCACAATAATCCATAGAACAGGAAAATATATATTATGTCAGGTAATTGGATGAATAACGGTGCTGTGGGGGGAATGGAGTGCTCTTGTAAACGATTTGATTTCGACAGAAAGGCACCTAATGGCATGTGTAGCCTGCTCAGTTTGCACTGACCTGAACCTGAATTTGAACACGCGTCCGCCGTCTTGTACAGCGTCTTATTGAGTATTGAAATGTCTGCCTCAGAACCCTGGTGAACACGTCGACCTCAGCCACATTTCTAGTTAAGCGGGACACCACAAACTCAAGCTTAGTCCGTCGGCAATGCTCTGCCTCGATTTCAAGATGATTTCTTTGCTTCGAGTGGACAAAATAAGTTTGGAAAGATCGCTCTCGGAAGCGGCAATTGTAATTACGCGTAGGAAATAGTTGGCTATAGGGTGTGGGCAGCAGGGAGGGAGAGGGAGGGGAGTTTCCCTTACATTGACATGCCTCTGTTATTTCTTTCTGTGTCCAGGACCCTTCTACTATCCGGTATATCCATTGTTCAAGATTATGGAAGGTTTCCAGACTTAATTCACCTGTAAGATACTGTTATGGATAATGTTAAAGTCTCAAATCTTCGTGCACATTAATTGTGTAAACATTTTTAAAGGGATAGATTAGGCAGCGGAGCAAAGAGCATTCTTCAACCGGTCGGGTCCCACGCTTCGTCTGGATTCGTGACCAACATTTTTTAATTTTTAGTATGCACAATTATTAAAGATAAGGAATTTAGCCTCCTATCATACACTGAACAGTGGCGTGTCCAGGATTTGGCTGAGGGGAGGTTGGGAGGGGGGGGGGACATCATGCTACTGTCCCGCATACATGTATATAAACATCATGCAGCTATCCAACATTACAATATGGCCCAATATCTGAGAAAATCGACCTGTTTTGGTGAAATTGATTTTTTATTGGAAATTGATGTCTAGCCTTTATAGAATAATTATTGTAACTTCGTTTCACCACCATCCGACCAATATAAACCATGTAGCAATGCATTCTATGGTCAGGAGTCTTGTTAATGAACTGTTCATTTGTTACAATTTTGAAAGACCGGTGTGTTTGGTGCCACCAAAAATTATTTCCATGTGATATCAGTACGACAATAGCCAACGTTATAAGAGTGTTCGGACTGTTCAGGCACTTCATCTTCAGCATTCACTTTATTGACGTTGTGTAGTCGCAACAGCAGCAGTAGCAGCATTAGAAGGAGAAGTGATTTATCTGTTCTCCTGGTGACGGACATGCTTGACAGGATAGTCTGCAACAACTTTTGATGGGTAACCATGATAACAGCATTTACATGCTGTGAAGATTATTACAAGTGACTGTGAAGGAGCCAAACAGAGCAAATGCGCTCGGATGCACCTTGTTGCACTTTGTAAAGACTGATGGAATCATTTCCAAACATCAGTAACACAGCCTGACAAACGTTTCACACCACCAACTGAAAAGTTACAGAATGTTACTCGAGATTGCTCAGCCTCATGTGCTCCGTGATGGTCTGATTCACCATTATTAGCTGGGGTATCGAGCTTGCCATCCAAAACATTTTAGGATCATCGTCGCAAAGAAAACCCCCATTATTTCGTGCTGTTTTAGCAGATCTGGCGTGGCACTCAGGAAACAGTTCTGCCAAATGCGCTAGTGCGACCAGCGACCTTGCAAGCGGTGAACCATCAGGAATCCTCCTGTTTGTCCTTGCCTGAACTAGAAGGGCTGTCACTGTTTGACAGGATATCCACAAAGAATGATGCATCACCGTCGATGGGATCGCGGCTGCTGTCCTCCGTGACCAACTGATACAAGAATCGCCTTCAGTTTTCTTCCGCCATTGTCTCCACCGTTTGCTTTAATGGAAACGATTTTTGCGAACAAAATTGTTTTAGTGTTTTCTAAAAAAAAACGTGTAGCCCCGAAGGTCGAAAGTCTCAGATATCGGGCCATAATTATTATTCCCGTAGCTATGCAGAAGACGTTACTTCAGTAACGTCTGGCGCTAGCCAGGGTTCACACAACTTTAATTCCGTGTTTGTGTGTTTGTGGCGTCGGCATGCCTGGCGCTATCCCGTACCTGTCCCGTACCATACCAACAAAGACAGCTGGCCACAATATTCAAATAGGGCTTTCAAATGCAAGATCATAACGTGAAGCAACTTGGAATGAGTATGTATGCGAAGTTTATCTGGGGAGTGCATGCAGGGCGATAGTGAGGATTCGAATCCCAGGTTATGTATTAAAAATAGGAGAAATGAAATATTTATAACATCCCTCTGCTTTTTATGCCTAGGTGATCAATGTGGTAGACCGTGTCGTATTACACTCGAATGCAAAGAGAAAGTTCAGTTCTTTCGCTCAGGGCCCATCTGTTCGAATAACATGTGTGATGAGCTCAGGAAAAAAGCATAGCGTAGGGCCCTGAGCTTCCACGCTCTCTCTCATTGCTTCAATCACATCCCATGTATTTCTTCCAGATGTATCTCAATCATCAGTCATGTTATCTTAGAAGAAGAAAAAAGGACGAAAGAGCTACAAGTTACACTATAATTATCCACTAACACCACCAGTTACTTTACAATCAGCTCATGTGATAACATTGCATGACACTGACCAACGGTACTGACGTTCTACAACTAACTGGCAATCAGCTCTAGCACATGTTGGAGTGCGCATCCAAGATGTACGCGAGCTGATTGCCCGTTAGCCGTAGAATGTCAGTTCCATTGGCCAAAGTCGTAGCCAAAGTCCTGCGTCGGATCATCACTGCAGCTGAAAAGAATCTGAACGAAATGTGAACGGAAGCAGCGTCTGTTGGCGATGCGTAGTCAGCGTTGTCAGGTGACAATGACAGGAGCGATGAAGACTCTAAATAAACTCAATCTCATTCATCGGAGTTGATTTTTTCTTTGTATATAGCTTGTAAACAGGTTAGACAATGCCCCGAGTGTTATTCCGAGTCAAACGGAACAATTCCACAGCTGTGCTCAGCCTTAAAAAAAGTCACGAAGTGTTTGTATATGGAGGAAGACATCCGGCTGCTCACTGACGACAGGTGGTTGGTTGAATGTGTTTATTTTAATTCACAAACCGAACGAACTGAACATATCCTATGACAAGGAAGCGAATAAGGTCCAAGTAACCCAGGAATAGAAAAACTTGTAAAGGAGACACAGATGAAAAGAAGATATGGGAAAAGAAAGCTCTCAGTAAGAAAAAGAAAGAAGAAAGAAGAAAGAAAGAAAGAAGAAAGAAAGAAGAAAGAGAGAAGAAAGAAAGGAGAAAACGAAGAAATAAGAAATCGTGGTCACTGTGAGAAGAAAGTTCTTAGCAAAAGAAAAAAGAAAGCAGGTTCTTCCGCGTCTGGCGGAATGTTAGGCTGTGTTCACATGAAGCGTTTCAACCCGGGTTGAGTTCAACCCGGGTCAGATTTCAACCCGCTATGTACACAAAGTGAATGGCGCGTTTACATGACGCATTGCGCTTGACCCGGGTTGAAATTTCGCCCGGGATTGATTTCAACCCTCCCTTTCAAATCAACCCATAAAAAGTAAAAAGTCATAAACGTCTGTACCAAAGAAAGCGCATCGCTAGCCGCGCAGCATTGTACACACACAGCGCACAGTGCACTGTACATTTGGCAAAAAAACATAAAAGAAAATCGAGACTGTTCAAAGTGCAAAAAACACATGTTCACGTCATGTTCACGGAAATTCGAACGAAGAGAAAAGAGAGTAGAGAAGTAATTTAGAGAAGTACAAGAACGAAGAAATGGAGAAGATAAACGTTCTTGAGATGAAGAGTAGAGACAAGAGCAGAGAGAAGAGAGAGACAGACTGGAAAGCAGTTCTACAGAAGACGTGGGAGAGAAGAAAGGTGAGAGAATAGACAGAAAGAAAATAGCAAAGACAAAGTCCACAACAATTTCAGACAATGTCGATCTTGTTCACAAGTTCAACCATCAGGGAGGAACAGTTCCTATTAGGGGTGAAACGAAGGTCTCAAATTCCCATTCGAACCTTCTTTATTAAAACGAACGAAGGTGTCAAAGGATGCTTTTTTTTAACATGATCACGGAAACGCTCAAAAATCTTAAAAATAAAAAGGGTGCAAAAATCAGAACCCAATACTTACATTGCATGTGCAATTTGTTTCTGAATCTGCTGGTATCAATGTATCCATTCCAGGTAAGAAAATACTTGGGCCCAGCTCACAACTATAGATAGAGGCAAGGTTTTAACATACTCTTGATAGAGGCCATACCAAATACCTGTTTGTGAGTCAATTGTCCATATTTCTGACAATTTAGATCAGTGTACTTGGGATCGTGTACAGACTTGCTAGCCTTCGCCTTTTTGACACAAAGCGACAAGAGATCACTGCTCTAGTGTACAGCCAGTTGCGTGCTTGAACAATACCAAAATGGACGGAAAAGAGCCATATTGCGTAGTAAATATCAGATGCCCAACTTCATCAAAAAATTGTCAAATCTGGACATGTACTTTTCGCTTACTAGTATCTGCTCGCATCGAGCGGGTGTGTTGGTGATTGAGAGGAGAGTGAATAGTCACTGGGTGAGGAACTTCACATGCCTCGATGATTTCAGGCCATCGCTGCGCTCCCTCTCGCTGCTGCTGGAAGAGTGAATACTGCAATGGCTTCAGCGATGGAAACTTTTATTTTCGATTCAAATTATCAGACTACACTCGAATCGCTGCTACAACGTTCTCCAGACACCATCACTATAATATTTATATGACAGGGAGCACTTCCATCAAAAATTGCGCGATTGTCACTTTGTACAAATCCCACACTCACAAGCTTGCCACTTGAAAAGTATACTGACAACTGCGCTGCTTTCTAACACTCGTCTTTCTAACTAAGTTACTTTGCGCCTGACACTTTGTGCCTGACACTTTGCGCTTGGCACTTTTGTGTCTGCTCTTGCTGCGTGATGAGTATATCTAGCATTGTTTTTGCATGCCCGGCTTTAGTTGTTTGTTGCCTGATGATTGATTGTTCAAGAAACTCTGAGTAGCAACAGAAAGAATGTGTACTTGGTGAGGACTATACTGGATTGTGTATGTACTAGCAGATATCGACGGCAGCTACAGCGAGCTATATTCCTGGTACAAGCAGCATAACTGAGCGAAAACACGATCGAAATCGCAAAACTACTCTCCTACTGGTATCGCAGAGCGCCAAACACTCGACGAATACAATCAAAAAAGTCATTCATGAGTACACCATGGCAGATCTACGCACCAACGCAAAACGGGAACACGCTGGTGACTGGAACAGGGCCAGATCTTCACTGACTTGTCACTTCTTCAGTTCCGGTGCGTACGCGGACCGTGCCCCTCCTTGTAGTTCAGCATGTACAATGCTAGTGCATGCAGCACATCGCACAAGATCAATGCATTGATGCATGCACTAAACCTGTGTTGACTTTCGTTCGAATCAAAAACGAAGGTCCGTTTCAAAGGAAAACGAAGGTCCTTCAAACCTTCGACTACTTCGTTTCAGCCTTAGTTCCTATGATCAAAATGCTTCGAACTTGGGGGTTTGAACTTTTTTTCCGAATACGCAAATGCTTATTTGTCAGTGCCAATTTGAGTAATCCACACATTTTTATCAATGGATTATTTTTGTAACCAGAAAATGTCCAATACAGTGTGTGCCAAATACACTTCTTCAAAATGATAATTTTGATACATGGTAGATGAGTTATCCTGAGATATGGGCAAATCTGAGATACGGGCAGTGCCCGGTCCGAAGGTGCCCCCCCCCCCCCCCCTCCCCTGAAAAGAGAGGTCCCAGTGTAATCATTTTATACTGCACCCATGCATGTTGGCATCTTGCAAGGATATGCGAGCCACAAAATCCGTCCTACTTGTCGCAGTCTACTCATGATAATGTTGATTATGTGTCTGCAGCAATTTACGAAACAACCAGTTCACCTCAGTGGATGAAGACCAATTTCAAAACGCCACGAAACTCAAGCTTCTGTGAGTACAGGAATGGCCATTCGTTACACTTCCACTACGTAACTCTACAGCCTGCATTCTCTGCTTGAACAGGGACACTGCGCTCCGCCATAGCACACCGCTCTACATTTGAACATGTGAGGAGTCTAACATATTCCATTCTAGGTGATTTCAGTGCACTTACTACACTATCAATCAAGCGTGGATATGGAAATCATTGCGAGAACTGTGGGGATCTTTATGCAAGCGTCTAACTGGACAGAATGAATTTAAAGTCCTCCTATTCCTATACTCCCACCGCTTTAGGAGCTGCATCTGCGCCTTGATCCTTGAAGGGTGGTGGTGTTCCTACGGATGCGGAAAACTCGGCCTCTATAATAGAGGAACCGAGTCTCACGCGAACCGTGAATTTTTTATTTATTTATTTATTTTTTATTCCTATACCTCGCTTCTAAGGAGGTTGGGGACAGTTTAGGCCAAATTTCATGGTCGTAATATTTTCATGTGAACAGATTTTTTGGAGTCAGGGTGTCATCGATTGGCGAATCTGGATTGAGTGCGAGCAGGCAGTGTGGTCCTAGCAACACTGGACAACATAAGGGTGTAGTACGCAAAATTTACGCATATCGTACAAAGATTCTGCGAAAGCTGTCCAAAAACGGCAAAGTCCATTTCCAATCCAGCCATTCCGGGTGTGGGGGCCGCTGCTGCTTCTTCTCCGTGTTGTGCATAGTTACACCTTCTCTCTCCCCCCCCCCCCCCCTCTGCATAGAGGTGACATAGCTCGCATCCTTTTTGGCGCTACACTCTGCGTAACACCATGGCACGCGCCCTCACTTCACAGAGCACAATGCAATGGAGCGCTACCTTCTCCTGCTTCGTCTGCGTGATGTGCTAGTTGCACCTTCTCTCTCTCTCTCTCTCTGCCCCCCCCCCCCACCCTTCTTCATACTAGGTGACATAATTCTCTTTTTTTGGCGCTACACTCTGCGTATATATATACTGCTCTTGTGTGGCTTCCACGGTATTCACTGTTATTACTGAGTACCTGACGATGGCGAAGTGCCGAAACGTTGTAAAAATAACGGAACTGGTTCGGATGTGCAGCGCTATGGGAATGGGTGTGTCTACCCAAATTCCTTTCAGAGATGAAGCTGCAGGAAGCCTCAGCCCTTCTTCAAACAAATTCCCAAGTTTATATAAACTTTCTATGTTTTTTTAGTAGCCTAGAATCTTCCAAGCCGGAAGGCTGTTGGCTAGCGCTTCAGAGATGTGCTGGAGCTCGTTGTTAGGTCCCAGAATGCCTCGTACTCTGTCAGTTTTGGGTCTAGTTGTTGCACTTTTTGAGTGTATAATTTTATCTACCGTCCACTCATTGGAAACTGGCACCCTAACTTTTTGGTGTCTCCCACACATAGTTGTAGATATTGAGAAAACAACAGTACATCCTGCATTGTGTGACCCGTGCAATTACTCCTTGCCACATTTGAGGCCAGAAAAGTCCATGAACAGGGAAATAGAAATCCAGCTAGGTTTTACGAAATTAGGCCAGGTATGCCATGGCAAAATGTATGGAGAAGCAGATCCCAAACCCAGATTTTTGAGATGTAAAGTGGGACATTGATCCTCAATTCAGCCCATATCGGACTTTCAAAAGCCAGTGGGACTGTTTCCGATGAATAGACTATAGTAACAGTGTTGGGCAGTTACTCTTAACTTGTATCCAGATTACCCTTTCTTTCTCCGTTTATTCCTATAGAGTTTGCCATTTTGTTTCTGTTTTCCAGAGGATTAGATGACAATAACTTCACGTCGTTTCCACCCAAGCTTCTGTACAACCTTGTCGACCTTCGTATTTTGTGAGTAGACGAACGTATATTCATCATAGTTATGTGCATTGTGTATGCATACACGCACATACACTCATGCATACACGCACATACACTCATGCACACACGCACACCTTCATGCAAACACGCACATATCCTGCCTCACAACCACACAGTCACACAGTCAACCCCCCCCCCCCCCCCCCAACACACACAGCTACACTCATGCACAGACACCCACACACAAACACACGTGCAGATACACACAAACGTATTATATGCATATTCACACACACACACACACACACACACACACACACACACACACACACACACACACACACACACACAACACACACACGCACACACACAACACACACACAACACACACACACACACACACACACACAACACACACACAACACACACACAACACACACACACACACACAACACTCGCACGCATGCACGAAGCCATAGCAACTTGTGCCGGGATTGCACCATTCAACAGCTTGCAAGGCTGAAGAATTGACCGTCACTATTCAGCCTGGTCTACACCATACAGCTATTTGAAGTAATTTTCTGGCCAGCGAATCCCTATTTTTGGTCTTTTCATTCTTTTTTTTCGCACACACACACACACAAATAGGAAAATACAATTAGAAAAGGAAAGAAAAGAAACGATGCATGTAGGGCAATGTGCGTAAATGCGAGCAACGGAAAAGTTGCCGTTTTTGGCAATGCTATGCTCTCCACTACATTGTTCTAAATAACGAATGCAGCTCCTAAAGCGGTGGGAGGTGCGTAGATCATGCAACTCTTGACTCTTCTAAGCACTGGAAGATTCCATGGCCCACATCAGTATGTCATTATCTTCAAAATTATTTCACTCTACAAATGTTCACACCAAAGTAGGGTGTAATGTCTTCCCAATGCTGTTATTTCCACTTCATATGTGTGCAGTGGATGTAGATCGAACCAGTTGACCTACTTGCCAACAAACTTCTTCCTTAAAAATCGCAAACTGTACGAATTGTAAGTATATCCCACCACAATTTGCAATGTAATTTTCATAATTTAACACAGGCGTACATGTACCTGTAATAGAACCACTTTTAAAGGGGAAGTTTGTTTTGGAATCCAATTTTCATTACTTGTAGTCTTTAGGGTGCTGAGTCGAGAGGTCTTGGTCCGAGGAAGCTGAGACGCTTCCCTCCTCCTGTGTTATGCAGAATGTCACTGAAAGCGCCATTTCATTCCTATAAAAGCGCTGATGAGCGCGATCGGCCTGCATGTTGTGGTCTTTTGGACGCTGGGTCGACTGGTTTTGGTCCTAGAAGTTTCAACTTTGACGCCACGGCTCGACTCGAGTGACAGGAGCAGGCTGTTTGTAGTAGCCTGCAGCCTAGTGCAGGCAAGGTACCCATCAGCACGTGACCGTGTTTGATTTAGAATACGTGCCGAACGCTGCATCGCAGCCTTCCTTACCTTTATAAGAACGAAATGATGCTTCAAGTGTAATGACATTTTGCATATCCATCCCCATCCAGTAGGGCACAGTCACCCAGTCGCGGACGTGCGCGCGTTCGATTGGGAATAAAGGAGGCAGAGAGCGCCTCAGCTTCCTCGTATCAAGACCACTCAGCACCCCAAAGACTACGAGTGGTGAAATTTAGATACTGGACCATATTTCCCCTGGTAGCTCATACTGAAATTAATACCATTTTCCCGGAAATTCACCAGTTTGACACCATGTTTTGCAATGCTAGGGGTGTCCAGAATGAGAAAATCAGTAAAGAGCAGAGTGCAATCTAGGCCAGTCTAGGCAGCTTGAGGTAAAGTGGTCAATACACATGTGTGCAGAGCAGTATACACACACAACACAGGCGAAAGTCTGTGTAGCTGTAACATAAAAGAAAGAAGAAGAAAAAACATTAGGGTACCGTAAACCAATTTTTCGTATTTCTTAGAACCAGCGCGTTTGCGATGGCAACAGTTAGCGAAGCACTGGGGCCACTTACACACACACACACTGTTGAAGCTAGATTTCAAGATGGTTAATATTCGCATTACGCTCTTCCCGCGAAATTTATCAGCAAAATGCACTGGTTGAAAGTACAGCCTTCTGTGTGAGGAGACAAAACTGATATTCCGAAGCCCGATTTGATCCGATGCCAAAATGCTTTGAAATTTAAATTTTGCAAAATTGGTCCGAAGACGATTGAACTTACTGGAATAGTGTAAAGGCCGATTCATACTTCATTTCGCATACGGGAAACGCGTCGCGTCGCAAAAAGGTTGATCTGAGCTCAACCGCGATGACTTTCCCGTAAGCCTGATTCAAATTTCATTACGCGAAATGAAATTTGAATCAGGCTTAAGTGCGATAACGTTTACTATTCCAGTAAGTTTTGCACTCACAACAGTTACACATGCATCGCCACTTTGCACCTCACAATACACCGCAATCCATCTTTGCTGAATGTCCCAACATATTCTCACCTGTATATTTATCACTTAAGCCTACAGTCCATTTCAAAACTATAGACGCGTACCTAGGCAAAAACCGTTATGCCAGCATCTATACCACATAAAATCTGTGATCACTTTGTGCATAAATTTTTCCAAATTGGGCGTCTGTTATCCAATCCTTTAGAAACTATAATGAGAGTAATTGTGGAGCGATCCTGAGCAATATTCCGAAAACTATTCTCAAAAAGTTCCAGCCAAATTTGAAATATTTCAAAAACCCTACGCGTCTATAGTTTTGAAATGCACTGTAGTTCACATTCGACGGGCGCGGCGGGACGCGACGTAAAGATCGATGGGAAGCGACGGGACAGTCTGACGGCGTCCAATGTGAACACCAGGATCGGGAACACAACCGTGCTGCCGTACAGATCGGGAAAGCGACGGGAAGAGTTGAATCGATCCAACTTTTCATACCGTAGACGGGGACGCGAGCGTACAAAACAGCTGCCTTTTTAGTTTGAACAGGAGACGGCGTCATGCGCCGACTACTCCCGATTCGTATTTGGAAATGTTTAGCATTTCGAACACTGCGCTTCCCATGATAACTCGCAGAATGGCTGACGCGACTTGAGCTGAATTTTAGCAAGACACGGTCTGATGTCACTTGTGGTATTTAAGGATAATTCAGGAGCGTGACAGACGAACTGTTTTATCATTTCCTGGAGCTATTGTTGGAATGGCACACCTTTCGAAGCTACTTTTTTGGTGTTCATGAAAAACTGGTATTGTGAACTTGATTCCGCTTCATGCAAGAAGAAGCAATTGAAAAGAAGTCCCAAAAAAACAAGAAGTTAGGTCCAAAAGTCACCCTGTCACGGGCCGTGCCTTACGCTGTTGAACGACGCAACGACGACGCAACGACTGCAGCATGTCATGTCGTACGAATCATACAAGATTTTACAGCTCACCCCAGCCTTACCAACAGGCTCTTACGGCCCGTACCGTCAGCATTCCGTCGAATGTGACCTAGGCTTAACCAGTGTATTCTACTAGAATTATTTGAAACTCGGATGTTGAGCCAATAATAAATGTATAAAGGAAAAGGATATTATGGATACGAGTTAAGAGTAACTCTCCATCACTGTAACTGGATACTATGTGCAGTCAGAAAGTGCAATAACTAGGCACACAACTGACAAGAGTACTGAGACATTCGACGCCCCGACACCTAGCTTCAACACATCTCCGTAGCGCTAACCGACAGCCTTCAAACTTGGAAGGTTCACGGTTATGGAAAGACCAAGGAGGGGAAGGCAAGCGCAACGAAAACGAGCACAAGCTACAGTCCCAACGGAACAAAGAATGTCGATTGTTACTGGACGATGATGAGACCAGTAGGATACTTGACAAAGCGGTCTAACTACAATTCGAAGCAGCAAAGCAGTAAGTCGGTTAAAAACAGGGCCAATAGGAAGTTCTACTTAAAACTCTAGGGTTCTGGCAACTGGGGTCATCAAATATTTGGGAAATGATTGCCAAGACTATCAACCACAGGGTGACAGAATCGATACAGTCCCCAAAAAGAATAGCGCATCACAATAGGGGACCCAAGCTTGCTCAAATTTCGTGAAATACGCCAAATGCGTGAAATTGCAGCTGAAAGATCGCTGAAAACGTTCAGAGAAGAAAAAACGACGCGTAGTGTTTCCAAGCGGGATTCTTACCAAGGACTCATCGTACAAGAGGCAGAATCATGATCCAACTGACTGATAGTACTTTCACACCCCCAAACAGTGCCAGAAATCACTATAATTATATCCCATGACGTCTATAGACGTCATCCGCGCATGGGGCATTTTCAATGACGTCTATAGACGTCATCAGCGTTCAACGGGTTTTAAAAGGATCTTTTCCCAACAGTCTCTTAGTTAAGGGTCTGTTGGGTATGTCTGAATTAACATCTTCTTACAGAATGGTCAGGATACGCAACAAGTTCTTTGGGGGAGATGATCTGGAGTGTACAGAGTAAATAATGCAAGCTGCGCATTGAGCACACCTGCCATACAGGCTAAGAATTAGTACACTGTACTGGTGCCAGCGGTAGGTGTGTTCAATGGGCTACGTGCCTTATGTATTCCGGTCATATCTTTCTTGTCTCCATGGAAACATTTCAGGCGTTCTTAGGGTAAAGGGATTTGGTCGGGATAATGTTCATGCTCTTTTGCGCTCACACTGGGCACCACTGGCATAATGGAAATCATCCCAGAATGTGTAAAGACTAAGAGAATGGTGGTGTTAACTAAAAAATTAATGGCAGGAAAATGACTAAATTGTAATGCTGAAACGACTACGTTTTTTCCTTAGTGGCTTAGCTGATAGCATAACGATCGGCTTATCAACTAATTGTGAAAAGAAGAAGGACAAAATGTTACGAGTTATGACTAACTGTCCACCAACGTAACCAGATCTTATACAGCCAGCGAGTGTCCTTCTTCTTTTCACAATTATTTAATTGGCTCACCATCCGAGTTACACTTATCAATTAAACGATTATTATTGTAACTACATGATACATCAGTACAGTCATGTACATTCTGTGAATTTCGAAAAAAATTACGAGTCCAACGTCGCCAACGACGGAAAGCTGGTGCATAGATCCGATGATCCCGCAACAAGTCCGTCAGCTGTTCGGACTTACCAGACGAATACAGACAAGACAGAGGCGACGCACTGGTTGCAATCCAAGAGCTGATGGTCCCCTTCGCCTGTGACTTCGCTGACTCCGACGATGAAGTCAGAGAAGCCAGGGGTGCAGATTGGCGGGTTTTCACGGATGAGCTGACTTGGGGCGCGCCAACAAGTAACTACATAGTTGCTTTTCCTGTCTATGCTCAAAATAGGCCCAAGCGCCAGGCCTAGCTTGTCGTCGAGCAAACTGATTTGGGAACCGTCCACAGAACGGAAAACAAGAAACTGAAGACCCCCTTTACTGTCTTCAGCTCAAGACTACTCGCACGCGGAGGGAACTCCAGCCCCTGCAGCTAGTGTAGACACATACTGAGCCCGCCAGTCCTGCATGCTGTATGTAAGAAAAGTAGTCAGCTCAAAAGAGGGCGACGGTGATTGCGTCGATGTTTCTCCGATCGCACTTGTACTTTTACACGTACATCGATGTTGCACGTGTACAGACTCAGTCATGCACATATTCATGTCGTAGATCTACTCGCAACATTTTCGGTGCATGCACGCTTTGTGCGAACCCCAAAAGGGGGGAAATCCCTTACCGAGCGCAAGTACCATTCTACTCGTTTAGCTGATAAAATCGAAATAACCCCTCGATTTATTTCTTATCGAGTAAGTGCAGTCAACTTTGCGTATAACGACACTCGGCCCAGCATCAGAAAAGTGTCCTTATTCGCGAAGTGTCCTTATACCCGAAGTCTCATTGTATGCATTACAGTTAGATGTGACACTGCTCTGGGTATGGAAATTCTGTCGTTATTCGTGAATTGTCGTTATATCCGCAGTCGTTATTAGCCAAGTTGACTGTAACGAGTACCGCAATCGATATAATTGTTTCAGCACGACTAAATTGTCACTTGACTGGCTCCCGATTTTCCACACGAGAAGCACATAAAACATTCCAGTCTGCAAATCTGCAAGAAAGGACTCCTACTCAGTACCCAGTGTTTTGAGGGAAATCCCCCCCCCCCCCCCCCTCATCAGTTGAAGTTGAGTAGGCTAGTGAGAGATGAGCTGCTGGATCATTGCACTTGTGTAGCACTGTAGCAACCAATGGCAATGCATCACATAGGGATCCCAGTTTATGCAATGCTGAGTATCCACATACGACAAATAACTCATGATCACCAGGCAAGAGTTAAAACTGGACATGTAAGAGCAGACACGGAGGGACATTGACTCTTCGCAATGTTGTCAACTCCAACCATCTAGTCCCATTCCGCTGAGCGGGACACCAGTACGAACTGAGGTACGGCACATTGCACAATGATATCTGTGGATAGTGGCTGCGTCAAGTGTAGAATAAGGCTTGAAAAAACCCTTTTTTTTTATTCAACACCTGTTGGCAGATGGCTTGGAGATAATTACTATAAAACATTGCCGTTTGACCTCGTCACGGGCTTGGTCCTCCAGAAATTGTAAGTATTCTGTAATATGTACACATTCATGTCTCAATTCGAAACTCGGATGTTGAAACATTCGACGTCAGTACTCTGTCAGTTTTGTGCCTGGTTATTGCACTTTCTGACTGTATATAGTATCTGTTTTCAGTGATGGAGAGTTACTCTTAGCTTGTATCCATATGTCCTTTTCCTTTCCAAATTCATGTCTCAATAAACACCATAGTAACACCATAGTTACTGCCATTTCCTATGTTGATGAGCAGAGAAAAAGACCGGGCGTGTCAACATTCAGCTGGAAGAGAACTACATATTCCTGCCACCAGAAAAGAAAGAGAGTGCACGCCTTACTACCATGCTCCTACTGCGGCTGACAGCAATGCCCTGATGGCGCCCATCAGACAAAATATTGTGAATCTTTTTTTTCCTTTCTTTTATTATAGCGATAAATAGTATAGTGAAGTGGACAATACATGGAGAACAAAGAGAATACGGTGAATAGTGAAACATAGTATTATTATTATAAGCACGTGCGCGTTGCTGGGGGCCCCATTGGATGGAGGTTGCCCAGGTTCGCATGTGCCAAACTGATTATGCCAATGGTTCATGACGAACACAAACAGAGAGAAACAAATCGTGGGGAAACAAAACAAGAACAGTATTCGTACCAGCACAAAAAGGAAGCTAAACGATAACAAAACAAAACAAAAACAAAAAAATTCAACTAAGGAGAAATGGAACGGCGGACAGACTACATGAAACTGAAACACACAAGAGCATGGACAGAGTTGAAGGGAGGACGTGAAAGGAGAGGACTAGGGGAAGGGTATATAAATAGTATAGTGGTAAAAAAAGGAGAAGGACAAAAATTATTAAAAAATAATTGGCTCACCATCCGAGTTTTAATAGTTTAGTGAAGCGGGCATTGTGAAAAGAACAAAAAGAATATGTTGAATAAATGTTGGTGAAAAAGGAGAAGGACAACATGTTACGAGTTATGGCTAACTGTCCACCAACGTAACCAGATCTTATACAGTCAGCGAGTGCGACAAAATGGCACAAAACTGACAAGGAGTACAGAGACATTCGGTGACTTGACACCTAGCTCCAACACTTCTCCAAGGCGCAAACCAACAACCTTCCAACTTGGAAGGCTCAGGTTCGGAAAGGTAGCTACTGCACTCCACTATCATGTATGATGGACTAGTTATGTACAATAACAAGTAGTTCCACACGACGTACGTTTCGCCGTATAGGTCATGACGGCTCATCAGGTGTGCAAAATTCAACTCGGACGTTGAGCCATTTTGGTGGACAGTTAGTCATAACTCGTAACATTTTTTCCTTCTCCTTTTTCACCATAATTTAATTGGCTCACCGCCCGAGTTGAATAAAATGTTCCTAATCTATTTTTTTGCGACCATCATCATTAGGGAAAAGTCGTTTCACAACAGAAGCTATGCGGGGAACAAATTAACTTATACCCATAGAGGATAGGGGAAAGTATACAGGCGAGGTGTGAAAAATGTGGTAGAGAGGAAGAAAGATAATTTAATAGGAAGAAAAGATCTGAGACTGTTCCAACGGGGTGAGCTGATACCAATTTCTTCTTCTCTAAGACTTGGATGGAGAGCCAAGGATTCATTTTTTTTACCCTTTCCTTGCCACAGACGCGCTTACGCGTTTTTTTGTACGCACAGAATGGCCATGGACGCGTTTCCTTGTTCTGCCTACACTGTACAATGTACACTGTACAGTACATGTGTACCACGGGCTATAGACGAGTGTACAAACTGTCATAACTCCCTCAAAATATCTCGGATATCTCTATCTCGGATTTAACCTTTTGGCGATCCATTCAAATGTTTTGCTCGCGACTTCGTGCGGGCTAGGGGATTTCCCCTAGAGACAGCGTGTGCACAGTAAGCTTCAACAAACGCGCGTGAATGTTAGCTTTGATGGTAAATTTGAATGTTAGCTTTGATGGTAAATTTGAATGTTAGCTTTGATGGTAAATTTGAATGTTAGCTTTGATGGTAAATTTGAATGTTAGCTTTGATGGTAAATTTGAATGTTAGCTTTGATGGTATTTTTGAATGTTAGCTTTGATGGTATTTTTGAATGTTAGCTTTGATGGTATTTTTGAATGTTAGCTTTGATGGTAATTTGTTGATGGTATTTTTTGACGGTATTTTTGCCGGTAAAAGAGGCTTGGAACTAAAAGAATGTTAGCTTTCTCCAACTCAGTTTGAATCGTGAAAATCCATTCACTACGAGCAAGAAGACGAAAGAAAACATGAGGCATGCCGTGCTTTTTTTTTGGTTGCGCTCACCTTCCCCTCCTCATGTTATTTCCATAACTTAGAACCTTCCGGGTTGGAAGGGCTGTTGGAGTGCGCATCCAAGATGTGCTAGAGCCGTTAGCCAGTTAGTTGTAGATCGTCAGTACCGGCGGTCAGTGTCGTGCAATGTTATCGTGTGAGCTGATTGTTTAGTAACTGGTGTGGACCCTAGCTAGCGCCAGACATTACTGAAGTAACTGAAGTAACATCTTCTGCATAAAATAATAGCTTACAGTCCATTTCAAAACTATAGACGCGTACGTAGGCAAAAACCGTTATGCCAGCATCTATACCACATAAAATCTGTGATCACTTTGTGCATAAAATTTTCCAAATTGGGCGTCTGTTATCCAATCCTTTAGAAACTATATGAGAGTAATTGTGGAGCGATCCTGAGCAATATTCCGAAAACTATTCTCAAAAAGTTCCAGCCAAATTTGAAATATTTCAAAAACCCTACGCGTCTATAGTTTTGAAATGGACTGTAGTAACGTCTTCTGCATTAACAATAAAATAATAGCTTCTATTGTGAGACGACTTTTCCTGCTGATGGGCTCAAGAAAATCTTAGTAACCAAGAACAGTAAGAAGTAATCTGTATGGAACAAAAATGTTGTCAAACGGTGCACTTTTAATCCACTCCCATCAACCACCACGACCAATGGAGTATTGTGTAATATTATTATTGTACTTAAGATGGCTACACATTGGTATACTTTAACTCCTCTTTCTTTCTGTAGCCATATAGTGGACGTACTAGGAACCTTCATTGACGATGTATCGCTTTGCCCAATCTCTCAAGTAGCATCAAGAGGTCTCTCGTTGTTCAGCCAAATTGGTTTGAAGAACATATCAGTGGATTTCAGTAAGTGAAACTGACTGAGAAGCACATCCAATTAAAACAATATATCCATGAGTAGATATTTATGTACTCCTAAAATAACAAGTCATGTCGCCATTGGGACTTTTAGCAACGTGAAAGTTCGAAAGAAAATTCGAGTCTGGGAATGAGAACCGAAACAAAGCTCAAAACTTCGAAAACTTGGATGCAAACTTGCATTTATTTTCGAAAGTAACTTTCTCTTTCCAAGGTACACACTTGACGATGGTCAGTAGTAAATTTACAACCCCCTGCTTGAAACTGAGCTGCCACGGTACGGTACTGCAGTCAGACCTTGCTTATCCGGTCCTCTTTTTATCTGGATCCCTCGCCATCGGGAAGAAACTTGCTGGCCAACGATTCACAGCATTTGTCGTTCATACTTACAGTATATGTGTCACAGTAGATAATCCGGTTCCCTCGCCTATCCGGTTATGTTTCTGGAATATGGATGTGTGCAGTTTTAAAAGCGAGGTCTAATTGCATAAGATTCAAATAACTTCGAGAAAAAGTCATTTCGCATAGCTAAACCCCACACGCTTTCCTTTCTGGAAATAGATTTTCGTGAAGTATCACCGCCACCAAAAGTTTGAACTTTCGCATTGCTTAAAGGGGCACTCCGGGAATTTGTTCGGTGGTGTGTTCTCTTCATGGGGGCCTTTTATGGCCCCAAGGATTGGGGAGGCACGAAAACTAGACCCAAATAGCCGATATATGAAGCCAGGGATGGCCAAGTTTGTCTCCTCTTTTGATAGTTTTGATGACATCACGTGCGCTTAGTATTCAAATTCTCTGCATTTGAAGATCTTAGTTTTATTTTCTGGTGATGAAGAACGATGTTTGGTCAACATTCCCAAGGTTCACAACTGCAACCATACTCCAAGGAACCTGAAGGACCTCCTGAGGTGGCCCTGGTAGAAGCGCAGCCTGATGTTGGCCAGGAAATTGGAGCGTACGACTTCACTGGTCGACAAGGAAATAACGATTGGCGTCCCTGCCAGAAATGTGGGGTGATGCAGAGGGCATTCGATTGCCTTTGCTGTCGAGAGAGCGCTGCACCTGTTAGCACTGGCAGCCCTTTGACATGCGTTACACATCACCCCGACTTCGCGTCAGCTTGTCTAAACAAAACTGTTCTGGCCCGCCGCATGATATGCCTCACGGTGTATAGTGAATTTCGGGATCCTCGTACTAGGACCAATGAAGTCCTCCGCTCCAATCTCCTGGCCCTCATCAGGCTGCGCTTCTACCAGGGGTACCTCTGGAGGTCCGTCAGGTTCCTTAGAGAATGGCCACAGTTGCGAAGCTTGGTAACGTCGACCAAACATCGTTCTTCATCACCAGAGAATTCAAACAACTAAGATCTTCAAATGCAGAGAAGTTGAATACTAATCACACGTGACGTCATCAAAACCATCAAAAGAGGAGACAAACTTGGCCCTCCCTGGCTTCATAAATTATATCGACTTTTTCGGTCTAGTTTTCGCGATTCCCCTTTCCTTGGGGCCATATAAGGCCCCCATGAAGAGAACACACCACCGAAAAAATTCACGGAGTGCCTCTTTAACGTCCCTATTATCTTCTCAATCCATAGGGTTTGAGCTGGTTTTCGAAATGGGAAATGGGGCCTAGAATCAAAATCTCCCTTGTAGTGGGACGCTGAGTAGAAAAGTATTAAGTAAGTAAGTAAATTATCGTGTCCGTTCCCGAAGGGAACTCACGACGGCCGCTAACACCCGGTAAACCCTAGCGGCAGATGCAGCGCCTAACGGTGGGGGTGAGTAGATAAGTCTGACAACCACTGGCACAAGTGCCGAGAACGACCCCATTAGCTGCATCCAAGTAGAAATGTATTAGTGTGAGATAACTAAACCACTCACTTTGTCTTCAGTTCCCAATCAAACTTGCACCCCTCGCTGAACTTGGATGTGCGTGCCCTACTAGATGGGGATTTGTGCGGTAAAATTCACTCAAAGCTTTAATGCATTGCTAACATAATTCTGCAGCTGCATGCGTGTGTGCTCCTCATTGGCTTCGCTCGTTCCTTTTTTCTTTTGTTCATTTGGCTTATGTGAAGGCTAGCCAAGCTTGCTTGGTGATGTCAACACGAACAAGCATATAAATACCGTAATAATAACGAGAGAGCTTGGAATCTCAGGGGCCGACGCTATGCTTTTAGTCGAGTGAAAGCGACGCATGCTTAACTCTCTGCTCATTCTGCCAATAGTTTCTCTTGTAAAGACGCTGTACATGAGCTGAACTACCTTCGTCCAGTGGTTTGCAGTCAATACAAACTGTTCTGGACCTGTTCTAAGCGTTTTCATATCCATCAAAATCCATCACGAAGTTTTTGTCAACGGAGGAAGTTTTTGTGGACCCTGGCCAGCTAGCGCCAGGCGTTACTGCACTATCGCCCTGCATGCATTCCCCCGATACACTTCGCATACATATATGCCAGGCCTCTACAGTCTCTCATTTCTTGGTGCTGACCGCTTTAATGCTATACATATGCTACTATACATACTCATTCTCTTGATGGTACGGTACGGGACAGATACGGGATAGCGGCAGGCGTGACACAAGCAAACAAACACGACATTGAAGCTGTGTGGACCCGTACCCTGCAGACCTGGCTAGCGCCAGGCGTTACTGAAGTAACGTCTTCAGCATAGCTACTGTCTGTAGCGGTGATCGGTCCGCAACTCCAAATCACATACGTTTTGATGTAGAAAAGCCACAGATATGGCATATGACGTCACAATTTTCGCAAAAAAAGTGACAAAAGAGTTTTAAAAAATTCCACTAAAAACTCACCCAAAATGGTGCCCGGTAGAGCGAAGTGCATGTAACTTTGGTGTCCGGATAACCGATGTTCCGGTATACCTTGCATAAGTTATGTGTCTTTGACCCTTATCATTGTAATTCATCCATTAGCATTCTCTCCAATTGTTTGCTGGACTTCTTCTTCATGCTGTGTATTTAACTACACTGAAAACGTGTTAGGAAGACCACTAATAAGACAAACTGTGGCTCTAGAAGAACTAGCAATCATAAGACTCATAACTCCATCATGAATCACTGTATTTTCACTGAGTATATGAATGGCTTTATTGCAAAACGCGCTAAACACCAATCTCATGCATATGGCGTTTTCGGTGTCAATCGAATCAGCAGGGATCACTGCATCTGATGGCCAAAAAGAAAAGAAAAAGAAAAAAATATCCCACTGAAAATCAACGTTGAAGTTGACGTTCTACTGCAAAACGCGATAAACACCACCGATGTTTTCGAGCAAAGTGCGACATATCCTGTCGCGCGGGCCAGCGTGACCTGTGACAAGCCAGCGAGTGCTGGCGTATCATCTTCTTTGTACAAGTAGCTGTTGTTTTTCGCTTTCCAAACTGCAAAGGGCAGCATGCTAGATGCGTCAGGGATGGACGACGCTGCTGCTGCTGCTGAGCTCCTTCAGAGTTCCGAACTCGGTGAAGTCGTTGCACTTGTATTATCTAATCTCATAATACTGATTAGTCCGGCGACTATATCTGGTTTTGCACCAAAATATTGAAGAATCACCTTGCTTGAGAACGTGGAGGGCCCCTGATTTTTGAGAAAGCCTGTATTTGCATACATCACCCTACTCTTCTCATCTGCTAAGTTAGATTTGACCCAAACCCACCCAGTTGTTCATCACAGAAACTCACTCGTCCTGAAAATTGGTCAAAACGGATTTATCTCGTTTTGCAATGAAGCCCTTCATAATTATGAAGTATAAAAAAAAGGAGGTTTGTCAACTGACAACCGCTCTGTTTAGGTGCTATTCACAATCGCCGCATGCGCTGAATGAGAAATTCTTTAGTGTGATGCCCAAAAATTATGACGTTTCGGGCCACTCACCCATCATCAGAACCATTCAGCGCATGCGGAGATAGTAAAATAGCAACTGAATAGAGCAGTTGTCCGTTGACAAACCCTCTTTTCTTTAAAATTCAGTTGCGTGATGTCCATCGCTTTCTTACTGTAAAGTATGCATACGAAGAACTCCCGTTATTGCGCACAAACACCATCCGCCCATTGGTGTTCATCCTAAAGAGGTTTATCTGTATTCACAATTTTTGCACTGGTTTACCGTGGGTTTTTGTTTGCCTTCTCCTCTCCATGTACAGTGCTAGACACCTGCAAAGGAGCATATGTGGGATGCTATCATGATGACAACAGAACCAAGTTCTTTTGTGAGTGCCCGAGCGGGAAAATCTTCGGCGGTCGTGATTTGGGCTGCCAGGACGTGAGCATTTGCCACCAGCAGTACAGCAGCAAGTGTGTCCTCTTTCCAACATGCACGCTACTGCCAGGCACCTTGAACTACAACTGCGCATGTCTGCCGGTGCTGACGCTGTCGAATGACGGATCCACCTGCCAGCAGATAAATGAATGTGCGATGAATACCTCACTGTGTGCCACGAATGAAATCTGTGTTGATACGTGGGCAAGTTACCATTGTACTTGCAAATCAGGATACTACCGTGAGTCTATACAGATATTTGATATCACAGGAATCCACACTTGGTCATTGATGCATTTAGCTGAACGGTGCTCTTTTTCTTGCACAATGTTCTGTAGCGGACATGGAAATCCAGTCAATGGACCGAGGCCGGCGCCCTCAGCTGGTAGATCTACAGAACGCTGCGTGCAGTGCACAGAGTCGTGCTGGTCCGAATCCGACCAGCGCGCTGCAGCGCATAATGCATGTAACTTGTTCCGCTGATCGACGGCTGCATGGCCAGCGCCCTGGGGTCGCTAGACGTGCGACTGGATTTCCATGACCACCATAGTAGATGACATCAGAGTTGACCGTACAGTAAAGCCTGCCCTAACTGGATGCCCTTGGTGCAGCGGAAACTCTCCTGATATGGCAGAAATCCTAGCGAAAATTCAAAAATTCAGCCAAATTCAACGTCCATGGCAAACGCCGCACGATGCGAATCCCTTTTGCCGAAAGCATTATGATTGAAGTACGGCTTCACGCATGGAAGTTTGAAGGTTGCGTGAAATGCAGGATTTCGCTGCGATGTGCGTGCATTGTGCAGGATTTCGCTGAGATGTGCGTGAAATGCAGGATTTCGCTGCGATGTGCGTGCATTGTGCAGGATTTCGCTGCGATGTGCGTGCATTGTGCAGGATTTCGCTGCGATGTGCGGGCATTGTGCATTGAACGCCAAAAATACTTCCTGCATCACACCTAGGACAGTGGGCAGGGGTAAATACACGAAAGCAGGGCCTGCTCTAGACATTCAACACAGCCCGGTCAAAGTGTACCTGGCGCATGCAGGCCAGCCGGGTCAAGCCGGGTCAGATCATCCGGCAGAAAAACAAACCAAAAAGCCTGCTCAAAACGCAGGAAAACAGAAAGGCGAATTTATTACCGGAAATCGGAAATTTTAGAGAACAAGGCGAACTATCAAACTCAAAGTCCGCAAACGTAGATAGAAGGTAAACGATAAAGCGTGAGTTCTTTTTCTCTTCGCGCCGCTTTTGACTGCCTGCCCCCGGCCCCCATCGACTTTGAATGTCCTGACTTCCTGCTCGCCGCTGGCCAGATCGCGTTCGAACCAGTTGACCCCAGTTGACCCTAGCCGAGTTTCTGTCGCTTTTACAACACCGGGTCCAGTCTGAAAAATGTCTCAAACTGACAATGGATTCCTAAAATACCGGTATTTTACGACTCGCGGACCCCATCTGTTGCAAATCTACAGTCCATTCATAAAAAGATGGGCTCTGGCTCTGGCGAGCTCCCGTATTTGGCGATTTTTCGTGATTTCATCGTACACATGCACAGTGCAGTGCTGTGAAATTTGAAATTTGAAAAGGGTCCAAAAAGGGTACCTGAACTGGGGTTCGAACCGCACAATGCACTGTTGCAGACGGGGTCAAACGGCCTGGATTTTTATGGTTTTTCCCAATTCAATGCTTTGGGGGCAAAACCTGGCCGAAATCCTATTCTTGTTATGGCTTGCTTTTTGGAGAAAAAAACTTCAGAAACATAATTGGAAGAGGATTCCATAGAGGATTGCAGAAAAAAATTCTAAAAAAACTCAACTTTGACCCATTTATGGCCAAAAGCTAGAAGTTCATTTTTTTTCTGAATGGACTGTAGCGCAATCGTACACACTACACTACAGTCTACAAGCGACAGAAACTCGGCTAGGGTCAACTGGGGTCAACTGGTTCGAGCGCGATCTGGCCAGCGGCGAGCAGGAAGTCAGGACATTCAAAGTCGATGGGGCCTACACTACAGTCTACATTGTAGACTGTAGTGTAAGCCCCATCGACTTTGAATGTCCTGACTTCCTGCTCGCCGCTGGCCAGATCGCGCTCGAACCAGTTGACCCCAGTTGACCCTAGCCGAGTTTCTGTCGCTTGTAGACTGTAGTGTAGTGTGTACGATTGCGCTACAGTCCATTCAGAAAAAAAATGAACTTCTAGCTTTTGGCCATAAATGGGTCAAAGTTGAGTTTTTTTAGAATTTTTTTCTGCAATCCTCTATGGAATCCTCTTCCAATTATGTTTCTGAAGTTTTTTTCTTTGTAGACTGTAGTGTAAGCCCCATCGACTTTGAATGTCCTGACTTCCTGCTCGCCGCTGGCCAGATCGCGCTCGAACCAGCCCCCCCCCCCCCCCCCCCCCCCGCCGAGTTTCTGTCGCTTGTAGACTGTAGTGTAGTGTGTACGATTGCGCTAGATTTGCAACAGATGGGGGCCGCGAGTCGTAAAATACCGGTATTTTAGGAATCCATTGTCAGTTTGAGACATTTTTCAGCCAGGTCAGACTGGACCCGGTGTTATCTGTTCAGCCAGGTCGTGCAGTTCCCCAGCCGGGCGCGTGACCCGGCTGACCCGGCTCTCCAGCAGGCCCTGGAAAGGGAGTATTTCACCGGATAGGGAGACACCTGTGTGCACAGTCATACCGCAGGCACAAGCGGGAGGTTGAGCGTAGTGGAGAGTGAATGCACACACACACACACACACACACACACACACACACACACACACACACACACACGACGGGAAAAGTGCTCATGTGCGGTACCAAGGGGGCATCAAGGAGAATGGTCTATGCAGGCCTGGCTGCTGGTCCATTTCGCATCAGTACAAAAATATGTTAAACGCGGCTTGTTTCTCCCATTCTTCCTGCCAAGCTACTGCTGACGTGACTACTTCTAAGGGGCCTATTATATGTGCAACTCCAGCCCGGGCTGGAGCAAGCGGGCCAGCCCGCCGAAAGTGTCAACATGTGCGCGGCTGGGCTCGTCGCCAGCCCGCAGTGAGTTTATATGCGCTGAGCAAACGCCAGCCCGTTGTGAGTATGCAACGAACACACTACGACTGTAGTGTGCTGCCCCGGGCTGAAACGTAGGGCTGCAAGCCATACTCATGTTATCTCCCTAACGAGAGAGCTTGGAAGCTCAGGGCCCTACGCTATGCTTTTTTTGCCTTGATGACCTAGACAAAAAAAAGCATAGGGATGTTATAAATTCTTTTAAAAAATCTTTTTTTTTAAGACATAACCTGGGATTCGAACCCGCACTATCGCGCCCTGCATGCATCCCCCGATACACTTCGCATACATTTGTTTGTTTGTGTCACGCCTGGCGCTATCCGTATCTACCGGCAAAAAAAGCATAGGATGTTATAAATTTTTCAATTCTCCAATTTTTTTTCAGGCATATCCTGGGATTCGAACCCGCACTATCGCCCTACATGCATTCCCCCATACACTTCGCATTCATACCCATTCTTCCAAGTTGTTGCACATTGTGATCTTGCATTTGAAAGCCCTATTTGAATATGCATTGTGGCCAGCCGTCTTTGATGGCACGGTACGGTAGGGGATAGGTACGGGACAGGCACGATCGAGGGTAATACGACACCGTCTCCCGAACCGTACCGTACCATCAAACACAGCTGGCCACATACAGCTGCCCGCAATATTCAAATAGGGCTTTCAAACGCAAGATAATAACGTGAAGCAACTTGGAAGAATGGGTATGAATGCGAAGTGTATGGGGGAATGCATGTAGGGCGATAGTGTGGGTTCGAATCCCAGGATATGCCTGAAAAAAAATAGGAGAATTGAAAAATTTGCAACATCCTATGCTTTTTTGCCGTCAGATACGGATAGCGCCAGGCGTGACACAAACAAACAAACAAACACACAAACAAACAAATACCAAATTAAAGCTGTGTGGACCCTGGCTAGCGCCAGACGTTACTGAAGTAACGTCTTCTGCATAGCTACGGGAATAACCTTTTTTTCTCACACAATGTATTCTTCTGCTGATTTCTTTTCGCGCTATGGCACATGCTTGGTGTGTTGTATCACCTCGTTTCTTTTTCCTGTTTTTCACATTTTTAGCTGTCCATGTCAAAGCATTTTGCAAGTAGTTCCTCTCCCATTGTAAAATACAATCATGCATGTCGACAAATAAACAGTGCTCACAGCATGTCCTTCTTGTTGCTGTACAAAAAGCTTCGTAGATTTTCAAGGCAATATCGAGAATCCTCTTTATAACTTCCCTCAAAAGGTAAAAGTGCCTATTTTGTAGTATGAACGCAGTGTCGACACCATAATAATACAACTCTGGCCCGGGCTGGTCTGTTTATATGTGCTTTTTCTGGCCCGCCTAGCCGGGATCCCGGGTGCCTCGAGGCGGGATGCCGCCTCGCCGGGCCAGCCCGCTTGCCATGTAAACGCATCACAGGTTTTGTGTGGATTTGTGTACAACCCCGAGATCCCGTTGCAGGCGGGCTGGCCCGCCTGTCGACCAGCCTGGGCTGGAGCTGCACATATAATCACCCCCTAAGTTCACCTAAGTATAGGATGAACTTTACAGTGGACGTGGTTCCTTGGGGTACTCTGTGATCAAGCGATTTTTTTATATTTATTTTTATTTTTTACTGAGGCCACAGCTTCCAATCATGTATGATCGCTACATGTACATCTAGGTAGCATTACCATGGCAACAAAGTGCAAAATCGACAGTTGTAGCACTATGTTGTCCTCTTTTGAACAGTTCCCGCCGATTTCAGAATGCGGAGGTGCTGTATACTATGTTCACTGTTTTGTGTGTGTGTTTTTTTTTGGTCGGATATGTTCCTGTCCTGTTAGGAGGTGGTGGGAACTGCACCAACGCCAATGAATGTGAGGTTGGTGGATTCATACCCTGTGGAACAAATGAGGTGTGCATTGATTCACCAGGGTCATACACTTGCCAATGTTCAAACGGATTCTCAGGTAAATTATATTGTGATATTAGAGATGGTCAGATGCACGTTATATCCGACGTGACGCACAATTTCACAAAATTTGACGTAAAACTCCAAATTTTGACGTGAGCTGCAGGACACTCGCGTTGTTTTTCGACGCGCGAGCCAAATAACGCGAGCCAAACTTCCACGGCACGTCAGAAATGACGTGCATCTTAACCTCTCTATTATAGCGCTTGAAAGTGCTCTGTCACAGCGGGGGCATCGGAAGGTAATTAACCCTTTCAGGGCCACTACTGAAAGTGCTCTGTCACAGCGGGGGCATCGGAAGGTAATTTAACCTTTTCAGGGCCACTACCGATTCCGCGTATTCCCGACAGGGCACTTGCTGATGCGAGCCTGAGCTGTTGTACGCAACTGCAGTGTTTTTTAAATTTCACTCACCAGTCGCAGAAGTTCTCCATCTTGTGCTCATCAGCAAGGTACAGATCTCTCTCCCCCAATCATGCAACTAGATGTCCAGCAGGGGCAACAGAACCGCCTTCATGCCACTTGAGAGCTGCCCCATTGTGCCTGAGTCAGATACTGTGCCCACTTCGACAAATTTCTTCGGTTCTGAAGTTTTGCTCAACACAGAGCAGCGATTCATAGTTCTCCAGATCCGTGAAGTTCAAGCGAATCCTTTGGGCTCTAAACCACATGCGCCGTTCAACGATGAGTCGTCGGGGAAGTCCCCGTTTGAGAGATACTGACAGATGCAGATCGCTGCACGTGAAACATTTGTATAAGCCGCATCTCCCTTTTTCAGGTGAATTTTGAGTGTACAAAGTCCTGCTTACACTCCAGAGAATTCGGTACTTCGTCATGGGCGGAGTGGACCCCAAAGTCCGTATTTGTTGTTAGAAAATTGACTTCTGACGACTCCTGACGTCATCGCTTTCAAGACCTAATCTAATTATCTGAACCTCACGAGTACTACCCCAAATAGTAAATGACAATTCAGTCGCCCTCACAACAACTGAACATAAGACTCTCAACTAATTGTGCCTGTTTTTCTTTCCAATCCCAGGATCTGGGAGAACATGTTCGGATGTCAATGAATGTTCTACAACCGGTAGCAGTGCTGTCACATGTCCACAGAACTCAACTTGCTTAAATACAATTGGGTCGTATGAGTGTAGGTGTGATGCTGGCTTCCAGGATATTCTACAACCCACATCGCCGACATCTCCTCGTTGTGAAAACATTGATGAATGCTGTAATGGCCAGGCTACGTGCTCTGCTGATATGCAATGCAATGATACCGTGGGATCATATCAATGTCTGTGCAAAACCGGATTCCGTTGGCAAGGTATGTTGGTGGCGTTTGCTAACAATATCGACTCTCAAAATGTTGCTTTCAGGAGATTGCTTATGATAATACACCTCCACAGCTCTGAAATTGCTATGAGAACTTCAAGACTCACCATACATGTAGATAGACAAGGCTGTGTAGATGTATGTAGATAGGATAGGAAGTGAAATATGAGTGTGTATGAGGTGAACTGATGCCACAACACTCAAGCTGTACTGTATACAAATCGTGAAGTTCAGGAAGCGTGCGCTTTCATTCAGAAATGCTCAGGTTTTCCTGCGGGCAACGAGGCGGGCATAGAGGCGGGCAACGAGGCGGGCATAGAGGTGGCGGCCTGTACATGCTATACAAAATCTTTACGATGATCAATGTACCGATGCGATTGTCTTAATTGATGCTTGCAATGCCTTCCTTCAATTGAAATATTACCAGTCAAAATGTGTCACCTGATTCTTAGGTAATACACACAGAAAGTTGGGTGTGGTCCTCGAAAGAGTGCTCAATGCACCGGGGTGCAGAGCTTCATACAAAAGGAATAGAATGCGGAGCTTGGGTTGGCTGTGACTCCGAGTTTCACGCCTATGGCGATCATCAGACAGATCATCATCAGATCAGATTCTTAGGTAATATCTCGTGGCGTTGGGGAAAAAAGGTTTTAAAATTAATAGTACACAGAAATGTAGAAAGGAAAAGGAAATATAGATACGAGTTGAGAGTAACTCTCCATCACTGTAACCAGATACTATTGTACAGTCAGAAAGTGCAACAACTAGGCACAAAACTGACAGAGTACTGAGACAGTAGACGTCCTGACACCTAGCTTCAACACATCTTCGTAGCGTTAACCGACAGCCTTCCAACTTGGAAGGTTCAAGGTTATGGAAAGACGAAAGAAGGGAAGACAAGCGCAGCGAAAACGAGCACAAGCTACAGTCACAACGGAACAAAGAATGTCAATTGTTACTGGACGATGACGATTCCCCTCTTTGGTCTTTCCATAACCAAGTTGGAACGCTGTCGGTTTGTGCTACGGAGATGTGTCTTCCCCTCTTTGGTCTTTCCATAACCTTGAACCTTCCAAGTTGGAAGGCTGTCGGTTAGCGCTACGGAGATGTGTTGAAGCTAGGTGTCAGGACGTCTAATGTCTCAGTACTCTGTCAGTTTTGTGCTTAGTTGTTGCACTTTCTGACTGTATATAGTATCTAGTAACTCGTATCGATATTTTATTATTGGCTCAACATCCGAGTTTCAAAATACACAGAAAACTAACGCTTTCTCTGTTCAGCTACATGAAATAACATCAATTGCCAGCTTTGTTACCTAATTCCACGAGAATATGTTACGTAGCAATGCACAGATGGCTATCACTTTCCCACATACTCCATATCGCGCTACATATCAGTATGGTAATTGTTACGCTGAGATTGCCACATCCATGGTACATGTATATAGCAGTACTTATAGGGCAGGGTCAGTACCGATTTTCGGCTGATGATCGATTAATTTAGTGAACCTCAGAGTTAAGAAAAACATTGTTACAACCGCTGGTTCTTCTGTCGGTGTATTCTGCTCTTTGCTTTCGGCAAATTGAGCCCTCTGCGGACGGTGGATGAACTTCGCATGGTATTCCATAATTCCCCCTTCTATGCAGTATTGATCATTCGGAATCACTCTTCAGCTACAGAGCAGTGCATGCTACAGTGGTTCTTGGCATTCGTACACTTTGTTCTATGTGTATTTATTTCATATTACTCCTTCCTATAATCAGTAAACACATCTAACTACAAGACTGCCATTTGAGAGTGCCTGGGAAAGGGGACTGTTTAGCAAGAGCAGCTAGTAACTGCAAGGATATGCAGCTGCACTGACAACATCTGTGGACAACTGGGGCAATGGCTTCTAACTTTCTTCCTTGAAACTGATGCTAACAATCCGTGACTGTCAATGATTATGCTGTCCTCCTAGGCAAAGATGACATTTGTAAAAATATCAACGAGTGTCAAGCCTCTGCTGAGAATCCCTGTACGACCACATCACAGTGCATTGACACGGAGGGATCATTTGTGTGTCTGCCAACTTGGCGTGGGGAAGCTCTCTTCTCATCGTCGGCATCCAGCACAGCAGGTGAGTTAATCTGGCATTACCGTAAAGTACCGCCAAAGCGCCCCACTATCCCGTCCTTTTGTGGCCGTATTGTGGAGGTAGTTTCCTGTCTGTAGGTCATACGACACGAACCTTGTACACACATTACACATTGTGCAGTCAATCCGTACTCCATTTATCTTCAAGTGGACACAAGATCCACACAAAACCTTGCCAAGTGTGACCTTAGTACACTAAGGTTCTCACATCGTACAAACTCCGTTGCACTTCGCCATGCGATTTTCCTTTCCCTGGCTGTAAAATCAAGGCGGAGCGCTCTCGTGAGACGGGGCGCTCTGGCGGTGCCTTGCGGCACTAGTGTGAAGCATATTCAGATGGAGTATTTCAGTCTGGTGGTACTGGTCTGCACCTGTGCATGTGCTGTACACATCATCATAATTATGGTAGGAGTACAAACTTACGATGTAGTGCTCTTGGCTTGTACTTGTGAAGTGCTGTACTTGCATGAGTTTAGGTTAATAGGGCTTGAAAGTGCTACGTCACAGCATAGCAACAATTTCAAAAATTCAAAAACTGGATCCACTTCGATCCAGTTTTTGTATGGATCCAAGCACATTTCAAGCGGTCTTACCCACAGCATGGTGATGTAGCCAGTGAAACTGACTGATTTGGCTACTGGGGGTGGGGTTACAACTGGTGGCGAAATAAAAGTCACACCTGCATGCGACATGAGTGGGTTGCTATGCACCCACATACATAGGCAATAGCAAAGTCACACCTTAGTGGATCCAAAAATAGAAATCTGATGTCAACTTACTACTCCCTGGCCATTTTGACGTCATCACTTTCAAGCCCTAGTGTATACTATATTTAGCGTTCTGGGGCGTTATTGTTACTTTTCTTCTTTTTACACCAAGCTATTATCTCTTTTTTGGTCTAGCATCATTATTACCATGCACTACATGTAATGCTTACGGTTATACCAAGGATGACAACATAATAAGGATACTACTCCAAAAAAAAGGTGCTGCATGAAGAAAAAAAGAAAAAAAGTAGGATGAAAAAAATGAAAAAAGGCCAATGAACTACAAGTTACGCTATAATGTCCACTAACACCACCAGTACAACAATCAGCTCATGCGATTACATTGCATGACACTGACCGACATGAGCTGATTGTTTAGTAACTGGTGGTGTTAGTGGATATTATAGCGTTGCCGTAACTTGCAGTTCTTTGGTCCTGTTTTTTCCTCTATAAATTCATCCTTGGCTCTCCATCCGAGTCCATTCCAGGACTTAATATGTTATGAGTTTGTGATAACTAACTGCCCACTAATGTAATGATTATTACATTATTTACACAGTGAGTGAGTGTGACAAAATGGCAGAAAACTGACGAGGAGTACTGAGACATTCAACCACCTGGCACATACATGTAGCTAGAACACTTTCCCGAGGCGCAAACCGACAACCTTCCTAAATGGAAGGCTCAGGTTCGGCAAGGTCCAGGAGGGGTAGGAAAGCGCAACGAAGAACAGCACGAGCTACGTCCCACGGCAACGAAGAATGCCGAAAGTTACTGGATGATGATGGAACTAGTAAGGCTGTTGGACATACCGGTCTCACTACAACTCGACGAAGCAAAGCCACACACCCAGGGGTGTAGGCAGGGGGGTGCTTTGGGTGCCAAAGCACCCCCTCAAAAATTTCGACCATGGGTCTGGCTTGGCATGCATTGTATGATCAAACAACCGCGACTGCCCTCAGCCCAGACTGGGTCATGGGTGCATGCTACGTAGATCTGCGAGTACTGCATTGTACTACACGTGCTTGCACTTCTTCGTTGCAGTCAGTGTGCAAGTATTAGTTACTCCATGCAGCTCTGCTGCACATCCACCGTGATATCCCGGTGAGCATCGATGCCGCCATAGATGAGTTTGCGCGGCACCATCCAAGGCGGATGCACCTGACAAACATCTTCGCCACTGCACCTTGTACTAGTATCACGTTGCCACGTCACGTCCTAATATGACGTACTGGCATGTGCTTCAGACTCATTACATGTGGGTGTGCTGTGCACGCATGCATGCACCCCCTGAGCAGATAGAGCTCTCAACCACGCGGTGTTCAGGGGTTGTAATTATTATTGCAATGGCATGAAGACAGTTTCGACTTTCTATTTCTCTTCCCGTTACTTTAATCCTATCATGCATTCAACTTTGTAAACCATATGAACTGAGTGGGTGTTCGTTGTGTCGGGTGCACTCTGTGTGCGTGCTTGAGATTCCCCGACAACTTTGGTGCCGAAACCCGTTGGAAGTTCTGAAAGATGGCTTCGAAGTTGGATGGATTTATTCGCCCGTATCGGGGCAAACAGGACGACTTTGATGAGTTCTGGGCTAAGTTTCTGGTCTTAGCCAAGGCCAATAAGTGGGCCGATGACGCTGCCAAGGCTGAGCATCTTCCGTTGTTCCTGAGTGGACAAGCCTTTACGGTTGTCACTCAATTGTCTGACGAGGACAAAAAATCGCCGGCAAAAATTAAATCTGCGCTGGAGCAGGCATTTTGCCCCACGCCTGGTGCTGCCTACCGTTCATTTACGTCAAGGGCTTTGCGGAATGGAGAGCCTGTGGACGCGTACCTGGCAGATTTGAAGCGCCTACTTACGCTGTCTGGCCATAAGATTGCGGATAATTCAGATCCCGTGCTGATTGAGCAGTTCCTGAGTGGGTTTCCAGCTGATATTGGTCACCACGTTCGTATGGCGTCTGCTACGCAGAAGCTCACTGTCACTGATATGGCAAATCAAATCAGAGTCATGCAGGCATCCAAACTCCCAGAATCCCATGGTGCTGTTGCTGCTGCTAGCTCTCAGCCCAAGAAGTCGCTCGTGTGTTACCAGTGTAAGGCCGTGGGCCATGTGAGATCACAGTGCCCGAAGCGTAAGCCCAGTGTCACCTGTTATGCCTGTAAAGCGAAAGGGCATATTTCCAAGGACTGTCCGAACAAGAGTCGAGTTGGAAATGTCGCTGCTGGTCACGCGCCGCCTGAACGTACGGATATTTGCCTTGCACTGGCAAAATCGGATGGAGACCTAGTTCGTGTAGCCGTGGACGTACAGGAACCCAGTACTGAGTCTAGTACGTGGACGCGTTTTGCCTCTGTGGTGGATTCTGGCTGTACTCGCACACTGGTGGAGTCGGCTGTTGTTGACCGATTGAACCTATCAGCTGCAGTTTCTCCCTGTCAGGACAAGCTGTTGTCTATCGACGGAACACCACTTACTATCCTTGGCAACGTCACGCTACGTGTGCAACGACTTGATGGAGCCGTCCATTTGCCTCGGATCACTATTGATTGTCTCGTTGTGCCCAACTTGTCGTCCTTGAACACGGACTTCCTGATTGGCACAGATACCATTGGCAAGGTCGGTGGCCTCACTCTACGTTACGACGGTCTAGGGGGCACGCTGTCCTCAGTTGTGTTTGGTCAGCAGGCAGGTGTCGCTGCCGGGGCATCTCCCCAACCCGAATCTGAGAAGCCTAACAAGCTTTCTCGTCACATCGATGTTACCGAGTCCGAGTCGACAGTCACCTTGAAGGCAAATGATTGCCTAGCTAACTGGTCGAATGAGCGTGGTCATTGGATTGCTCAGTGGTCGTGGAAGGGTGGCGTTGCACCCGAGCAGCACATTGGTTCCGGCATTGGAGAGTACTCGCGGAAGTCTCTAAGCGTCAGCGAGGAGGAGCAGTTTGCTTCAGAAATGAAGTTGTGGGTGGACAATGGATGGCTTGTCAAGTACGACTCCGAGGCATTCGGAGAGCCTGTCGCTGTCTTGCCGATACTTGCCGTTAGTCAGCAGCACAAGGCATCCACGCCGGTTCGGCCGTGCTTGGACTACCGTGCCCTGAATGCCTGTCTTGTGTCCCACCCCGGTGTCACCGCTCCAGCTTGTGACGCGAAACTTCGTGACTGGCGCAGACGTAGTGCCGACAGCGTTCTTCTCGACATCCGGAAAGCCTACCTGCAAGTTCGGATCCATCCCACCCTGTACAAGTACCAAACCGTTGTGTACAAAGGCGAGTTGTATACCATGACCCGCATGGGATTCGGTCTGAACGTCGCGCCAAAGATCTTGGACATGATTGTCCAATGGATTACCCGTGATCACGCCGACGTTGACAACTATGTGGACGACCTCTACGTCCCTACTGCCCAGACCGACATCGTCCGCCATGAACTCGCCAGCTATGGGCTTGAGACGAAAGAGCCAGAGCAGTTCGCAACTGCTCGTGTGTTGGGCCTACAGCTGTCCTCTTCTGATGTCGAAGATACAGTCACGTGGGAACGTCGTGCTGGTGTTGACCTCAAGTTGCCAGAGTCACCAACTCGTCGTCAAGTGTTCAGTTGGTGTGGCCGTGTGATTAGTCACTACCCGGTATGTTCCTGGTTACGCCCGCTGTGCAACTACATCAAGCGGCTTGTCGGCGAGAACACATCGAAATGGGATGACCTCGTACCGCCTCATCTCGTGCAACCATGTCGTGAGGTCGAGTCTCGTGTCCGTCAAGACGATCCTGTGCATGGTGTCTGGTCTGTGCTCTGTGATGACACCACATTGTGGCACGTTTGGTGCGATGCTTCTGGCCTGGCCATGGGTGCGGTTCTGGAAGTCAACGGCGCTATCGTCGAAGACAAGTCCTGGCTCAGACCTTCCGATGATAAGCGTCATATCAACATAGCAGAGTTAGACGCTGTCATCAAGTCGCTCAACCTCGCTCTGTGTTGGCCAGTGAAGAACGTGGTCTTGCACACTGATTCGCGTACAGTCCATGGCTGGTTGACGCAGTTGCTGAACAACATCCGTCGTGTTAAAGTGAGTGGCCTTCACGCTACGTTGGTTCAGCGTCGTTTGCAGATCATCGACGATTTGATCACTGTATCTGGCATTACATTTGACGTTGAATGGGTCCGCTCAGAGGACAATATTTCGGATCAGCTAACCCGTGTCCCTACCTGGT